CAAGTGAATCTTTCTAAGAGTAGAATGTGAACGTTTTAAAATAATAACTAAGAAAATGACATGAAGGCTATGTTAACCAGTTTGATGGAAGTGTTTCAGATTGTGTGTGAAAACCCCACACTATACCCCAGAAGTGCATTAATGTACATAGTTACCATTCAATAAAAAAAAAATAAATAAAAATAAATGAGTAGCCCAAATTTTTGTATCTGAAAAGACATATGCTGAATTTAAAATCCTCTAATGATAGCCAGGCATTGTGGTGGGTGCCTGTAGTCCCAGCTACTTGGGAGGTGAGGCAAGAGAATAGCCTAAGCCCAAGAGCTGGAGGTTGCTGTGAGCTGTGATGCCAAGGCACTCTAATGAGGGTGACTAAGTAAAACTCTGTCTCTAAAAAAAATCCTCTAATGATCCCTCACTTTAAGACTCTATGTTTACTTTCATGAAAGCCATAGACAAGGGCAATTTAATCCACATAGACATATTCAATTCTTCAGAGGATTCTAGGGTTCCCTCACCTTCCGGCTATCAGGAGCTCTCTCTCTGATGCCTGCTTCCGCACCTTGGTGTAGAGATCCATTGTGAAGAGAGTGCTGGCGCTGTTGAAGATGGAGGTCAGAGAGCTCATTAGAGAGGCCAGCATGACAGATAGCATCAGGCCTCGCAGTCCTGGAGGCAGGAGAGGCACTGGTTAGTGAATGGACACCATGCTCCATGACAGCCTTGCTCAACGAGACAGCCATTTAAACATGTCAGGTGGGACTCGGATTAATGTGCTTATCCATATACATCCACATGTGGAGGTTCCTTCATATTTTCTAATGATCCAAGAATAATCCAGTATAGAATTTTAGTCTTAAGTATAAACTTAGAGATCATCCCCTGCAAATAGTTTTAGAAGAATGGAAACCATGTTTTCGCATATTTCTTTGGGGGCGGGAAACTCTTGGGTTCCTAAAGACTTAGATAACTGGAAAGGAAGAAGTCAAGCAGGTTTTTCTGCTAAAGAAATCTTTTCAGGAGCAAAGACAAGAGTTTTGAACCAGTTTCCTCTGCCCAGTAGCTCTAAATCTCCCCTGACAGACAGTGGATGGTGTATTCATGCAGGTGACTCATGCCTCCTTCCTATTGATAAAGCTCATGTATAGTAAAGTGAAAGAAAGGTCACAGATACTAGCCAATCTTTGATGACATTTTCTGGTCAGTCGTGAGCTCTGTACCTGATGCTGCTTCTGTTCGCTTCAGTAGGAAATCCTTCTGGAATCCTAACAATGTACTTAAAACATATGTGTTGTTTATTTTCTATTTTAAAATGCTAAAATGTGAACTCTTAAGGGCAGGGGCTTTGTACCTATTTACTGATAATTTCTAAGTCCAAGAGCAATGCCTGGCACATGATAGGCACTCAATATATGGTTGTATATTAAATAGATTGAAATATAATATTTGAATACCACTAGCCCAAGAAAGGCAAAATAAATAGTTATCCTCTAGCCCCCTGTATTTATAATTTTATGGCCATTAAACTCTTTTATTGACAAGTAGATAATTTAACTGTTTTTAATTCCCTTGAAAGTCTTGAATCTGTAGAAGTAAGGAAGGAGTCTTCTGACAGGAAATGTATCTGGTTTGTCTATGAAATCTCCAAGCTTTGCAAAGGGCTTGTAGTCTATGTAAGGTGCTCACAAAATGTCTAATGAACAGAACTAAATTAATGGAAGTCAGAATTAACAAGAACTATACAACAGCCCTTCCTCAAGCCCCACCCATGGACAGCCCTCCAAGGCCATCTCAGCAGGGACATTTTCCTACCTGCAGGCAGCAGTTCCAGCACCATGATTCCGTAGGCATAGTCAGTACAGCCAACTTCAGTGCCACAGTGTTTCACACATTCAGAAGGCACCACACAGGCCACCTTATCTGAGGAAGGATTCAGGAGTGAGTTCAGTGAAGCCCAGACAAGCACAAATCACAACAGCTGAACAAATTAGTAATTTCAATAGATCATGGGAAAGGAAAGACATTTGTCTTAAAATTGGAGATTGAAATTTAAAGTCCATACCATAGGTCTGTTGCTGCTTTGCTTAGAACAAAAGCTCATAGCATTTCATCTCTGCAGCTCTCCTTCAGCTGACCCATGCAGTGGGGCTTTCTCTTAGGATGTGGCCCAGCCAAAGCATTAGAGCAAAGAGAGGATGCTGATCCCACCCTCCCAAGAAATAGCCAGGGAAGAAATTCCTTCAGGAGCAATACATTCCAGGGATATGCAGGAAGTTATGTCCTGTGTCTGGTCATATTTATCCCAGTGTTTTTTGCTGACCTCTCAGAGGAAGTGTCACTTGTAATGGCCAATCTGGCTGAGTGCCTGGTGTGTGATGATGCCTCATGTCACCGGCAATTGCATAAGACACTGGGTTTTGTTTGTTTGGTTGGTTGGTTGGGGTGTATTTTTTTTTTTGGTTGTTTTAAAAGTAGCATAACAAAAGATAGGGAAAGTTGATCAAGTGTGATCCAGAATAATAACAGTTTATGATATGAGCTTCTTCTCTTTTCTATATTCCTTTCTAATCCTTTTTCCTAGAGAATCATCTTTGGTGCATAACTATGGTAATGGTTGAGAGATTATTTCATAGCCTTCTTTTTACATATAACATAATAACTTCAGCATTTTCCCAAGTTTTGAGATAGTCTTCAGTCTCTTGTGTGTAACTTTCCAGAAAGAAAATATACAATGATCTCTTTAGCCATTTCCTACTTGGATGGCTACACATTCTTTCCTGTTATAAACCACACCGTGAGGCTGCAATGAGAAGAGATTCTGGTTCCTTAATGTGTTTGTGTCAGAGTTCAGTGAAATAAACTAATGCCCAGTTGAGAAAACATGAAGTCAAATGAGTCTTACCTGATGGATTTCTGTCGGAAAAATGAATTCTCTTTTAGGCTAGTAAGATTTGGTTACATTCTCACCACTTTTCATAATGACAAAAGAAAGTGTATATTTTAGGAAGACTTTTGGCACTAGAAGTTACTCTCAGATGACTCAGAAATTCACATACCCCAAACAGCCTGATTGCAAAGCAATGAAATTAGACTCAGTTCTCCAGATGCCTCAGAGGGACTAAGATGTGACAGCATTGGCTTTGCGCCTATAGCTCAACCGGCTAAGGCGCCAGCCACGTACACCTAAGGTGGCGGGTTCGAATCCCCAGCCTGGACCCACCAAACAACAATGACGGCTGCAACCAAAAAATAGCCAGGCATTGTGGCGGGCGCCTGTAGTCCCGGCTACTTGGGAGGCGGAGGCAGGAGACTCACTTGAGCCCAGGAGTTGGAGGTTGCTGTGAGCTGTAATGCCACAGCACTCTACCCAGGGGGACAGCTTGAGGCTCTGTCTCAAAAAAAAAAAAAGATGTGACAGCACATCTCAAAGCCCCTCTCAGTCCAAGACATCATCAAACCCAACCACTACTACTCACTCAACTCAAATTAGCCCAAATCTACTTCAGCTTCCAGCAACCTATGTCTCACACTCTATGCTTCCTCAGTCTATACCACTCACAAGCAGTATTCATGAATCAAATGTCCACAACAAGACAGGATTGTAGGATAAGGGAGTAAAGCATCAACTATGCCAAATTTCCCTGCCTCTAACCTGCCACACAAGCTATTTCTTACATTTGGAATTCTGTTTTTCCTTCCATCAAGAATGGATTTTCTAGTTTGTAACAATTTTACTGCATCTTAAAAACTCATCTCAGAATTCAAGCATAGAATAAAGACAGACCATATGGATTCAGGACTCACCTGTGTACAGAATGCGGCTGATCATCCCTGGCATCACCATGAGGAACATGGGCAGCAGCTTCAGGTACCCACACATGATGCAGGCAGCCTTCACATGGGACATGTCCTTGCCGCACAGACCGCGCTGCACAATAACCTGCCAGGAAAACACTCATGAAACAACCAGAGGATGATTTCAAAAATTATCTATTTTCAGGGTTTAATGTTATAATGAGAAATAGTGTCATGGCTAGTAGAAAATAAAAGGCTATAGAATCTGGTTTCTCAACTTCAAAACAGGATTACCTATTGCAAGGACTTCTGAATATCTAGTATAATGTATGTAGGACCCTTGGTACATAGATATCAGTACACATTAGCTGCTATTAAAATCACAGCTCCCAGGCTGCAATGCAATAATGGTAATGTGCCCTGCCATGTACAAAATTGTCACTTCTGATTCCACTGCAAATTATGTGTTTAAATTATGTCTATAATACATGGAAGCATCATCAGTGCCTTTCCCTTGTTACGGAACAATTGACTCCATGGGATATTAAGCCACTTGTCATAAAAACATCATGGTCAGATAGCTGTTAGAACAGAACAATGAGACATTCATTTCAAGATTTCTTCAGAATATTCTTATAACTTCATCAACTCATGATTCAAATATCACAGTCCTGGGGAAAAGAATGCACATTATTTCATAACCCTACGTAAATTATACCATTTCTTAACTAAGAATTTTGCAGCAAAGTTGGACTTCTACTCATAATGACATAATTTCTTGATATTTTTTCTTCTTCAGGACTATCAGAATATTAGAGATGCTTTTTCTACTTAATTATTCTTGGAGAATCATCAGGGAGACAACAGTTGTATCAATCCAATGCTGAGGAAGCAGACAGTATTTTTAGGCTGAGGGCTGGAAGCAGGTGGGTGGAGATACAACACAAACCACAGGTGAGCAGGAGAGCTCTGCTGTCAGGCAAGCTGGGTTGGGTATCAGAACTAAGGTGAACATGGGGCCACTTACAGGAGGCAAGTAGGATAGTCAGAGATGAAATATAAATAGTAGAGATGGTTCCACAGGTCAATGGCAAAATGATGCATGTTTTTTGAAAACCAGTTGATTATATAGAGAAAATAAAGCTCTGACTATGATTTAAATCTGGCTAACAATTGTGAAATTATAAGCTTCAACTTCACAGAAACTCTTTAAAGAAAATTTTAAAAAAAGAAATCTATACTGTCAAAAAGAATATTCAGTAAATGAAAAATAAGATCCCTAAGTTATAAAAATAAAAGCAGGAAAACAAGGATAAAGTTAAAGAAGTGTCCTAGAAAGCAGAGTAAAATGACCAAGAGATAAAAATGGGGAGAAAAGGTATAGACACTAAGAGGACAGCTGAGTCCACCACTAAATAGAAGGTCCCAAGAAGGAAACAAAATGGAAAAAAAATCAAGCAAAAAATTCCCCCAACTTTTCCAAGACATTGATTACCAGATTAAATAGGCTCACAGTTGCTCATCGCAAAGGACAAAAATAGATCCACATGATAGTGGTCAAATTTCAGAATTCTGATGACAAAGGAAAAACTTCTGGAAAGAAAACAGCTGTCATATCTAGGAGGGGGGAGGTTTGACAGAGGGACGGTAAAAGGTGTGATCACACCTATGGAACATATGACAAGGGTACAAGTCTAATCTGTGAAATGTAGAACATAGATATTTTGGCACAATAATCAAGCAATTGAGGCGAAAACTATGTTGATTTGTTAAATATAATCACATTAGATTGTATTAAAAAATCATCACATTGTTCTCCACATATGCATGAATGTATCCAAGATCTATGTGTATTTGACTTAATAAAATTAAAAAAAAAGAATACATTCTGGATTCTCATCTGTTAACAGATGAATTCAGAATACAATGAATATATGACTTTGGGAAAATTCTTCCCAACCTAGAAATTGTGTAAATGACTAAATTTTTAATCAAGAAAATATTAGAATGAACACATTTGCAAATATGCAAATTAACAGTAAATTGACCTCCCATGAAAACACCTATCTCAAGAAGATACTAGATGTATCTATTGTCCCCAAAGAGGGAATAAACCAAGAAAAAAAATCACATAGGATGCTGGAAAAGGAGATTTAACTCAAGAGTGAGGCAATAGGCTTCCCAAAGATAGTAGTGAAGAGATTGTAGGCAGAGCAGGGCACAAAACAGAGAGGAATCCCTGCCAGGCTCTGAGAGGACAAAGGCTCCCAGAGAAAATGAGCAAAAGAGGTTGTGGAGTACTCAATGTGTTTACAAGTTTTTTTTTTTTTTTTTTTTTGCAGTTTTTGGCTGGGGCTGGGTTTGAACCTGCCACCTCCGGCATATGGGGCCAGCACCCTACACCTTTGAGCCACTGGCACCACCCTGTTTACAAGTATTAAGGGAAAATTTGGCAACTTTATAGGGTGTTGTGTTTAATGAGTAAAAATTAGTAAGAAAATTTAAAACAAAACATTAGGGACAGGATTCTGGGAAGATGGCTGACTGGTAGCAACCCTGGTCAGAGGCTCCTGAACAAAGGAAGAAAAACTGGTTGGAATCAGAATCTATGAAGTCAAAGACGGGGAGCTGAGCCCAGAAAGAAGTTCGGCAAGCTATAAATCCAAGGAAGATCATTTA